GGCCCTGCCTGGGCCGGGGAGCAGCGGCCTGACCCCTCCGCCGGGCAGTGGGCACAGGAGTAACAATAACAGGAAATAACACACGCTCCTCTCCCTCTTTCTTCTCCTTCTGTGTTTTCTGATCCCCTAAACTGCCCGCAGCGTGGAGAGAAGGGTCTTGTTTTTCCTTATTTCAGCTTTATTTTCTCTCCTTTCCCCTCCCCCCGTTTCTACTTCCTCCGTGGGTTCAGGTATCACCAGAAGGTTTGGGTCTGAGGCAGGAGAATAAAGGAGAATCGGCGTGACGTGTCCTGTTTATGGTAATGAGCGAGAAAAGAAGTGGCTTTTTTTTTTTCTTTCGAGAAGAGCAAGGGTTAAATGGAGTTAGGAGCAGCAAGCGTTAAGCTATTAAACACGGAAATGACGGGAGGGGAAAGCACAGAGAAGAACACGGTTTATTTTTAAACTGTGAAAAATGGAATTAAAGTCACTGGTAATAGTCTGCCTAACTGTTGTGCAGACTACAGAGTGATTTGAGGGAAGGAATGACAATAGGACTTATATTAATAAAGGTGACTTTATAACTTTCTGCCTAGATGTTCCATAGTTAAAGTTACCGATTTTCAAAGAAAAGGTAAAAATCGGAGTATGCATTTGAATAAATCGGCAAGAGGCAACAGAAGAAAAACTTGTGTTGATTGTTATGAAATGTCATAAAGCCTGGAAACATAAGCGTACACTCTGACCTGAAAAAACACAGACACATCTGGTGTTCTAGGCCCAAGTCCTAAAGCAGAAGTGTTGTGGATTCAAAACCGTTTCTGAGTTGGCTGTGAAGAACTGGGTCTTTTGTCAGTCTGTATTCAAATGAACGTAATGCGAGGGGGGAAGAAAACAACCTTGCAGCCTTTCTCAGAGTTTACAGTGGAGAAACTCAAGTGAAATCTCGATAAACATGTTACTGTTTAATCGGAGGAGGAAAACGGCAACACAAACACATGGCAGCATTTGGCTGCCATGAAAGGATTAAATGTACTCTCAGAGACTTTTTTTTTTTTTAATAGGCTTTATTATTACATACAAAATGCTCTGTTAAAAATGCTAAGTTTAATGCACCATACAAAGATAATAAAGGTGGTTGATGACTATAGAGCAGGTTTCTGGGAGGCACTGAGTAATTTAAGGACATGTTATTCAATACTCAACTCTGAATTTCCTGGCTTTTGTTCAGTGTTTTATGACCTTGTATTTTTAGAAACATTTTGTATTTTCTGGTGCTTAGTGGCAGCGAGTTGTTTTTTGTTTTTTTTTTTCTTACAAGGTGATCATAGCTTTATGGCCCTCAAGTCGTTCTGCTGGTTTGTTTTGCTTTGACCAACTCTTTTTGCTCATGAACTAGGATTTAGAGATGGAACCTCTCTGGTCTGTCAGTGTAGTTGTAGAAGTATATTTTCAAGCTTTCTTTGTGCTATCCCTGGTTTTCCTCACTTCTCTCCTTTGCCTTAGTGTTAAAAAAAGAAATTAATTACCTCAAAGAAATTACAAGAGGCTCAGCGTGTTTCTGAAGTATAGGTAACATAGGAAATACTGTGGATACTCTACCGGATGTCATAAGGTACAGTTGGTAGGTTATAATAATAAAATACCTTTACTCTAGCTCTTAAATAATAGTAAGTGATGAAGGTTGAAGAGTTCCTAGGTTAGCCCAGAGGACTGTGGAAAGGTAGAAGTGCCAATATAACAGGTATACACTTTTCTTTCTCCTAACTGCAAAGGGGAGTGAATGGCCTCTTAAGTGGCCCATCTTTTCTTCCTGGTAATTTAATGAAGGTGGCTGTTAGGGCAGCCCCATGGATATGTTACTAGCCTGGCACCTGGAGTTGCTAACTGGGCTAAGCAGCGAATGGTATCAGGGCATTCCTACCTGAGAACTGGGGGAAAAAAACCCCTAAAACATCTGCTGCCTTTTCTCCCTCTGGATCCTTCAGCTCTAAGAATACAATAAAAGGGAAGAAAACTAGGAGGTTCCGTGAGGAGAATAAGGGCAGATAGCAAGTAAGGATATGCTTAGCACTGTGAAATGTTGTTTCTACAGATCAGTTGCAAATAGAGATCTCAAAAGAAAGCATTCAAAGTATCTGTTTGTGGAATATTGGCGCTTTCAGTGCATTTGAAGTTATCTAAGTAGTTGTGGAAGAATGGTAGACATTTTTGTTGAAAGGAAATTTAAATTGCACATTGAGCATGGATAAAGATCTGTTGTATTCTTGACCAAAATATTCAGGGGAGGGAGAGAAGACAGATCTATCCAAAGAAGCCAGTAAACTAAAGCAATTCTTACTATTTTCTATTACTGTAGTATAGGTACCTTGTACTCTTAAGCTTTCTCTGCTGCGTCTGTAGATTTCTGGCTATAGAACTGTTTTTCTGGAGTAATTTCCTCCTGTCTGTGACTGATAGGAGGCAGAAAGTGCTTTCCTTCCATCCTGGATGTGTTGGGGATACTTGCCTCTGGGGAAAAAATGGGTGGGGGGGAACAATCAGAGCAAAAGCTTTCAAAGTCATTTTTTCATGTAACTAGCATCATAATTTTAATGTGCTGATGTATCGTGAACAGTGATGTTTTTGTTTTGTTGGTTTGTGAGAGGAATGATGGTCCTCTCTATGTAATTTTGAAGATTCCTTTCATTTTCTTGCATACCAGTGGACAACTTGTATGGAAACATGAGCTGCAGTAGATGTCTCTTTCTACCCATTGCTACTGTGATGCTTTGTGTACTGCATTTCTGGACCTGAAGCTTTTTGCAAACATCCTAGAGAGTGCTTAAAAATCAAAACTGTCACAAAACCAGGCATTGAGCAAGCGGTGGAGGTTTAAAGAAAAGAGTACAGTCTAGCATCAGGATAACAGCTCTTTAAAATTTGTTGGGGATCAGCAAAACCTGAGGGTCAGTGCTTTTTTGTGTTACTTGAAAAAAGAAAACATACATGGGGAGGTGGTTGAAGGGAAGATGCATTGACTGCTTTGTTGTTTACCAGAACAGGCTAATTTCTTTCCGCAGTGAGCTATTCTGTTATACTTCTACAAGTTCTGACTCTTGATTAGGAGGCTTTGTCAAAATCTGGATATGAAATACATATACATTGGCATCAGTGATACTGTAATATATTAAAGACTATACCCAAGGGTATTTTTGTTTTTTAGATGGACAGACGTACATTTCTGTGTTGCTGCCAGTTAGCTGTGCAAGCTGACAGAAGGCTAACGCTGTCCTAGTGACTGTTGTTCATGCTATGTCTGTGTAAGGGAGACATGAAAAACGGTATCAGAAAAAAATTTGTCATTTCACTTAACTGTAATATTAACAGCTCTGAGCTGTAGGTAAGGGGTAAAGAAAGAATAAGGCTTCAGACAAGTGTATGCTACATGTAAAGCAGTTACCGCACAAAATATGTAGCTATTAAGGTAAGACATCTTTAAAAATATTCCTACATATTTCTAAAATACTCAGAATTAACACATGGATCTTGTTGAAAAAGAGGGATTTCATAAATGCTGTATGTAATATGAAAGTTCCACTAGACAGACAAGTTCAGTTCCCAGCAGGTAATAATCTATGCCATGTAGTATAAGGAGATAAAAATACAGACTCAACACAGATTATAACCATGGAAGAAACTATATATGGAATTAGGTAAACAGACTAAATCATTAGTGTTAAAATCATGGAAGATCCTATAGTAACTTCACTTAAGTTAGTCTTGTGATAATTGTCCAAAAAAAGCTGAGGAAAGTTATGCAATTTTGAGTAAGCTGCCATTGCGTGAACTTTTTCTAATGTATCACAGGCCAGGAAATCTTAGCCAGACATTTATTTACAATCCAGTTGCCTTTGAACTGCCTCTAGTGCCAAACTAAAAAAAAAAAAAAAAAAGAAATGTTTTATTTTTCAGTGCAAACTATGCATCCCAATTTCTGTAACAAACAGAAGAGGATTCTATAGTAATAGTTCTGTGTTACCATTCAGTGATACAAGGATGGTGTCAATTTTTCTGGCAGAAAACACTTGAAGTATATTCAGTACAGTACAGTATGCCCGTTTTGGACACTTTGTAGCTGTGAGATGTCTTGCTTTTTTAAACCGGGGAAAAAGTTGAAGTAAAATCAGTAATTTGCGCACGTCTTTTTTTCTTGTCTCAGTGAAACTTTCCTAATGAATTCAACAGAAGATTAGGCCTTGATTATTTTATTTTTGGCAGTGTGAGCAAGTCATTGAACCACCTGTTGGAAATAACTGCAGTTCAGCTTATGTAAACTTCATTTAAGGATTTAAACTGTATAAACACGCTTACTTTTGTCTAGACACTCCTGTAGACTTCTTTTGGACTATTTGGTGCCTATGCATTACACGCTTAGATTTAGGTTCAAAGATTATATTTTTGAAAGCTGAAATGGCTTCTCCAAATATGGTTTCATCTGAATTGGCTTTTTTCAAGTAGGTGGAATTTAAATTTAGATTAATTTCAGTTTAATTTTGCTAAAGGACTGATGATACTACTTTTAGTAAAAATCATCAGTGTGAATGCTTAAAAAAATAAAGCTTTACTCCTTAAGCATGGTCGACTCATGGTTGTTAAACACTTTTAATGAAAGCCCAATCGAAAACAATTCTGGTAATTGAACTTACCTATGATCTGGTTTACAGTGTAAAGTTCAAGCTTTGTACACCTGTTTTCCCTTCTCTGCTGCAATGCATCTGTTTGCAGAATTCTCTTTTTAATGCTGAAAATGATTAATTTTTAGTGTTAAATAATGCATACTTTAAAAGTATTCCTTTAAATACTTCAACTATAGCTTGCAACTATGAAAGAAGTCTGTTTTAGGGAACATAGGGCAGTGTTCAGATGACCTACTTAAGACGTTTGGAACCTCCGATTCAGAAGTTCAGAGTTGGGTGTCGAAGTTCCTTTTTATTCACAAGCAAGGGGATTCAGGTTACCAAAGAACATGGCAGCAGTATATAATGTCAAGCTAATAGGCCACTCAGCTTGGTGTCCCATCAGTGACAGTGGCCATAAGTGAGTGCCTATGGAAAAATCTAAAACCATATTGGGCATATATGGTGTATCTGTGTTTTCCCCTCTCAGTTTTCAGCCATTTTAAGATGAAGGACATCCTGAGCTGAAGGCAGTTTCTCAGTTAATTTCTGTTCTGGAAGCTTGGCCAGCATCCACTTAAACACTAGCATCTATACTATCCTTTGGTAAGAAATTTTGCAGTTCAACTACCTGCTCTGTAAAGACCTTCTTACTAGTTATCAGCCAGCTTTAAAACAAGAATCTCTTGACTTCTCATGTAATCCAACGTAGCTTGGGTAGTACTGAAAGTCTGAACTAGCATGTTGAGACAATGTAGAGGTATTTGGCGTATTTGAAAGTAGTTAACTGCTTGATGCTGTTGAATTTGCTGTTAGAAATAACAACTATGTAACTACAAATAAAAGCAGCATACTCCAGTAGTAAAATGGGATTCATAGGAGATTATATTAAAAGGACAGCTGTTCTAAATTTAGGGTGTCTTCTGTTTTAATGGGATGAAAGTAGTTTTGGGCACTGACTTCCCCAAGCATGTTGCTTCACCACATGAAGTGTTTGGCAATACTGGTAAGGTATCCTGTTACTTCTGCCCCTGTGTCGACCTCTTATTTGCAGTGTGACAGCTGTGTGTGGCTGTGTTGTGAACTGAATCACGGAATTGATCTGCTGCTTAAAAAAATCTGGTAGGTTTCTTAAAGCCCCAACAGCTAATCAATCTGGTTCATGGTATGTCCTTACAAATAGTTGCCTGGAATGGGGGCGGGGTGGGGGGGCGGCGGGGAGAAGGGGACTAGTTTCAGGAAGAGGTGCTAAGAATACCTTAAAATGGTATTATTTCCAAACACTTAGATTGTGATTTCACAAAACAAAGTCTGCTGGGTAATAGATGTACATTTTCAATAATATTTGGCTAGTTCCTACTACTGTAGTCTTCTGTGTGGAAGACTTGCCCAAATAAGGAGACTGACTCAGACTGAAACTACACAGATTGTCAACTGCATAGAGTAACCAAGGGAACTTCTTTGCAGTCTATTTTAAAGTAAAAACCTAAGAACATTTCAAAATAAAGTATCTTTCCTCCCTGCCCGTCTGTGCCCCCCCCCCAACTAATGCATCATTTAATCAGAGCTATCTGAATTTAGGGGATCTCTCAGGAGTTTAATGTTCTGCCCATGAAGTTTTGGGTGCCTTTTAGCTGAAGGATTTCTGCATACTTAGGAATGATAATCTAATTTATAGTAGCTAAATAGTGAGCTACCAGCACTTGAAAACCAAGCAAACCTATGGAAGCTCTAAGATTATGTACTTGGTTATTACCTTGGTTGAGAGAATCTGAGGAAATAACTTAAAGGTGATGAACAATAAAACATGCATGCTATCTTGTGTATGGAGGAGTAAATTACTGGTTTTTTTGCTCATTTGAGACTTCCGAAAACAACATGCAGAAGGTAGGTAATAAGCTTAATATTGTAAAACCTGTGAGGTCATAGAAGGATCTTTATATAAAATGTTTAGTAATGACATATTGAAGTGAGCAATGCATTTGCACCCAGGAAAGTATGATAGTTGGCTAGTTGCCTTAAGGTAGTAACACACTGAGATGAGCTAGTTACATCAGAAAAACTTTGTAGGTTAAACCTAGTCTCAGTGAGTGAAGAATTCGTGCTGCGCTAGCAAAGTTTTGGATGCAAATGTGGCCATGGTGGAATGGAGAGTTCTCCTTGGCTGAATATATGCCATTTGGTAAGAGGTGGTTGATGCTAGCTCTACAGGCAGGTAAGCATTTACTGTTTAATCAACATTTACACTAGAGGGCTCTGTGGATAGAGATTCAGTAGTGTAGGTCAGCTGTGCCTGATCTTTCTGGCTGACTATGCTGTCATTTTCCTGCAGTTTCTTCCTTGCTGTATGACCGGACTTGCTGCACATGAGACATGATTAATCTGTGCCTGAGCAATAATTCCAGTGTTAATGCCACTGGAAGGAGTGGTTTTTGGGGTTTTTTTTTGGCATATGCAGATCAATTGCTATGCAGGTGCAGTAGGCCTCCCTGTCTGGACTGGAGATGACAGCTGGAGTGCTGCAGCCCAAGTGATTTGTACAGCGCACTCAAAACAGTCATCTCTTTTCATCATGCCTCAGATCCACACGGAGAGTGGGCATGGGATCTGTGTGAATTATTCTTATGGCAATGACAATCTGTTCCTGGTTGCCATCTTATTGAAATACCTCTTGCCAGGATCCAGTATACTTTCTACCTTGCTCTCTTTTTTTAATTTTTCTGAACTATGTCCTGTGACCCTGTGTGTGACTTTCACACAATAATTGAGGGATTTGGGTGTGCTTGGGAGAGACTGAACTTGCCTGAACAGGTTGCTGCTAAAACAAGTCATCTGGCCAAAAGCCTGCTTCCAAGGTGCCTTTGGAACAAAGGGCTGTGAAGAGGGTGACGCATTCAGAAGAGTTAGTCTTAGTGGAGTGCAAGTGGCTCGCGGGCTTAGGTTGAAGATCCCTAGGGTAGACAGGAGCTGGCATTGGGCATTCTTCTTGTGGCAGAGCTGATACATAGTGAGCCTTGTAAGAAAAAGGAGTAGGAGTTGCATTAAGTCAGTTGCAGACTGTTAACGCTTAATGCTGTCCTGAAATAACATTCAGAACATGGAAATGGTATGTTCTATGTAATGACTGATGTTTATTCTGAAGGGCATTAGAATTAAAATATCTTAAATAAATTGAAGATTCGGAAGCACTAAGCATTAGATTAAACTCTGTTGTATCATTGTGTCTATAAAAATGAGTAAGCCCTGTGCATTTGAGAAATCATACAGTTCTTTCAAACCCAGGTAGGCTTTTGTCAATTGTTACTTACTGTGATGAAACTTTTTTCTAGTTTCCCTTCAAATAATTGTAGAACCTTTAGAGTAGTATATCCAGAACTTCTCATAGCATGCTTAATTGCAATGCAGGTGCCTACAATGAAAACTTAATGTTGGAAGAAAATATTCTAGCATAAAAATGAGGCTGATTAGAATATTGTATATTGTTTGTTCATTCCATAAGCCTTCTGTTTTGAGTAGTTGGTATGTCTTCTGCAATTATCTAAAATACATTTTTGTTGTGTTTTGAATGCAATTGTTTTTCAGGTCATGGAAAAACTCCAAAAGATGCTGCTTCTGTTCGAGCTACACATCCTATACCTGCAGCCTGTGGCATATACTATTTCGAAGTTAAAATTGTCAGTAAGGGAAGAGATGGGTAAGCATTGAGTGCGTTATTAATTAATTATTACTGTTTCACATCATCTTTCTTTCAGTCAGTAGATCTCTTTGGTATCAAAACTTATTTTCGTATTTTACCACTTTTTATATAGTTTAATTCCTTATTCATGAGAAGTTGCACTGTGATATTTGGTTGTTTTAAGGGAGTTGATTGTGGTATTTATTGTCCACAAATCAGTGTATACAATAAATACCATAACAGCATAGTCTCGTTTTCTTTTGACAGAGAAGTTAGGGTTTGAATGATCATAGTTTGACCCTGCTCTTGCCTTTAAAGGTGGTGTTTTTTGACTATACGGCTTTACAGACTTTCATGTAATTTTTAGGAAGTTTTTAGGTTGTGCAGCAGACCAGCTTACCTCCTCAGTGCAGTCTTTTCACAGATGTCGTATCAATTTTAAAATGGAAGGTTATTCTTAAGGCTGCTTGTTGGTGAACAGTAGTAAGAATAAAGGGGAATGTTCTGAATAGGTGCCTGGGAATTTGTCACCCTATGGAAAGAACAAGAGTTGATGAGTGAGTGCAGCTGTTGCTTCCCAAAAGCCATCTGAATTATGAATCTGTTGAAGTGCAGGTGATACCATGCTTTTAAGTCTACTGAGGCAGATAGAATCTCACCCGGGAATGTCCCGAAGTGCTAATGAAATCTTTGCTGGACCACTTTAATTCCTTTTCATCTTTCACTGCTTTCGGTATAGAGGGTGTGTTTTAATCCTGAGACACTGATTATGTCATTATGCCTATGTAGAACTACCTAAGCAATACTTCTTTCCAATATGCTGTAGTATATACTGTGGTCCTACTTCAAGGTTCTAGTCAGGTTTGAATGTCCTTATCCTAGGTACTGTACAAACATGTTGCGGATGCTTATGTGCTGTTGTGAAAACAAATCTTGAGAGAAAAGAACTATGTTGTAGCTCTTTGGATGAAATTCAGTACCTTTGTCTTTTCTTTATCTGTCTTGCTGCTGTTTCTTTCTTTTATTTTTCCCAGTGTTCTGTAAGCCTTCTGTAAGTCAGAAACAGTATTCAAACTTTTTTGTTTTGCTTACAGTATTGTATAGATATTTTGAAAGAATAGCCTCTCAGTACTGCTGCTGCCTTGTAGGGGCATTTATGAGTTTGTTACCGGTTCTGTTCCCAAAAGTTATCCCTGGGAGATTTCTTCGCTATGAAAAACTTATGTCTGTAGTTGCTTTTGTCACACTGTGAAGACCTAATTAGTTTTAAATGGAGATGATAGAAATCAGTGTTTCAAGTAATGTTCTGCTATCAATTTTAGGAACACCTTTTGTGGTTGGTTTCTTTTTTTATTATTCCTTAAACATTTTTTTAAAACTGCCCTGCTGCTGTCAGTTAAGGAGAGGTTCTTATTGTGGTTTGCTAGTGATGCACATGTCTCTGCCTGAAATGTATTTCTGCCTGCTTAGTTTGGAAGCTAGCTTTTTTGAAGTGATGGATTTCAAAAAGTGTCTGTGTGTGTGGATGTCATTTTACATAGTTCCTCTAACACTTTACCTTAGACCTCTTTGTGTTGCTTTTTTGTAATGTCTAATTCAGTAGGCCACTCAGGGCAATCCTACAAAAGTAGAAAACACCTTTGAGTAAAGTGTTTGAAGGTTTTGTCGTTTAAATGGTTATTTGTGAGGTGTACATAGCTAAGACTTGTGAAGTTGCCTGTTGAGATTGCTTGAAAAAAAATGGAGAGGTACTTTTTTCAGTTAATGATAATACATACTGCCTTGTCCTTGCTTCAGCCTTGTGATCTGTTTTTGGTGTCACTTCATGAAACGTTAACTGCATAATGAGCTGAGATGTTAATTTTTTTCCTTGTATAAGATGGTATGGATGCTGGGGAATACTGTGCACAGAGCCAAAGCCATATCTAGCTTAGCTGATAAAGAGCAGGAGTCGACATGTGGAACCTCACTGGATGTAATGTGTGTATCTCTAGACCCTGTTTTCAGGTCCAAGAGGTCTTTGACTAGCTGCAGTGTGAATCTCTTATGGTTCAATGTTATGCTGCGTTCAAACTAGTAAATTCTTCTGTAATAAGTAAACTGGGGAATTTAATGCAGAGATATATAAGTAGGACTATAGAAACCAATTTGTGTCTGATAGGGTTTATTAGTTCTTTCTCACTGCCTGTTGTGTTTCACCTGGCTTGCTCCAGGTACATTTTTACCAGTTTTTTTTCTTCTTTACTTGGCATCTGGTAATGGGAACAGAGTTCAGGAAGACCATATCTGTAGAGGACCAGCATGTAACTAATAGGGTCAATTAGTTAAAACACCTTCCTGTTGCAAAAGCATCTATTCTCAAGGCCTGAGCCTAGCTGTGGAAGCACTACAGCTGTAATGTAGTACTGTTTAACATAAATCCTGGACTACCCAAGGCAACTCAGATACCTATCCGCAAGCTGAAGTACCGCTTTCAACTTTCATAAATGTCAATGGATAATTTAATGGTGTTTATTTGGAGTTCCCTTTGGTAGTAGCCTTTACTACTTACATTTATTTTTTTTTAATAAACTCAGCTTAAAGTATTTAGTCCATGTACTATGTTATATGGGCAAGTCTAACCGCATTCTTGCTTGTGTGCTCTACTTAGCGTGACTTGCCTCAAATCATCAAAAACTTTTACTAAAAACCTAGTCTAGGAGATTTATTTTTTGTACTACTGTAGCACTTGATGGCACTGCTCCTGGAATATGATCTTGCATATCTCAAAGTTGCTGGGCAATGACAAAGATGATTATTCTCCTCTGAAGGAGCACAGCTCTTTTTAGTGTAGGGCATGGATATGGCATGGCTTCCAATATGGCTTGTCGTAGCTGTCTGTGTGCAAGAACAGCGTTGGTTTTGTCACACAAATGACCTAGGTCATTAAATTCTTTACGCATTTGGGGGGGTAACAGTCTTGAGTAGTAATTTGAAAGTGCAAAATATGTTAATTTTGCAATGTTCATGATGATCAACTTCTAGGCATTATGGACACATTGAAGAAAGCACGAAAGCAGGCTTACTAGGAAGTAGGAAATGGGTATGGAGGTTGGTGTTGCAGAGCAGATGAAGAGTGAAGTTGCTTTTTGATACCTCAATGAGAGGTGATAGGGCCATGCAGCAGCTGATGGTAACAGATGAGAAAAAGGGAAATGAGAATTAAGGTTAATAAAAGTAATAAGGTTGAAATATCAGTCAAACAAAAACTGTCTTGGTATTTGTACAGTGTTTGGCATGAAGAGTCCTAAGATCTTTTATGTGCTGCCACAGTACAGATATGTGAAATAATTTTCTTAAATATTTTTAAAATTCTTGTTAAAAGTGCTAAGCGACTGTCATGTTGCTCTAAATATTTTCTGTTGTTCTTTATTTCTTCAGTTTTCTTCCTTAATTTCGTGTATCCTTTTGCAGTCTGAGGACCTCTATTTATTTACATTCTCCTTTTATACTCTCTTCTGCTTTGTTTTGTTTGGCTTCATGTGGAACATTGTGGACAGTGATGTGAGCGATCGGAGATGATAACAGTAGATGAGTGATGGGTGTAAGTATGGGGAACAGTACCAAGGTGATAATTGGAAAGCATGGTAGGAAAGAGAGTATAACTGCACTAAATTATATCTGCATCTCTATTGAAATCTCCAGTTAATTTAAAAATAAATACATATATGTGTCATTTAATGCAAAGTATTGCAGCAAGTACTGTCAAAAATTCTAATGTAGCTGGAGAAGCTAAACATAGTTCTAGCTAAAAATTAAACCTTTGTAAGCTCTTAATGCAGCCCTCATTTGTAATTGATCCATCAGAGAACCAGAAGTAACGTACGTAGTTTTTCTTCTGTAATTTCTTAATACGGTACTCAGGGGAGTGAGATGGGCATGGCGTTGCCTTTTGCATACAACTCTAAGCTCCTATTCCAGAAATTTAGATGAAACTAAAAATAAAGCAAAGTACATTGCCGGTCTAGGAATGGGAATGAACAAGGTTGGAAGTCCTATGGACCTGTTCTTGTGATTTGGAGATGTAAGCCTTAGTCTCTAAATCCGTTATAATACTGTATGGTCCCCTCACTTTCCAAAAATGACCACCATAGTGGCCATTCTCTTAGCTAGGTAAGTATATCCAAATGAAACTTTTTCCAGTTTCTCTTGAATCTTGATTTCAGTTTTTTTATGCTGCTTTTTACTGCGTTCAGTTGTGCTAGTCTTTTACATATTTAGGTCCTCTTGCTTTGTGTAAAGTGGTAATGCATCTGCCTTACAGCCCCACAGTTAGTATTTTATTTCCGATACCAGTTAATGTTTCCCTCTTTTACAGAACTAAAGATACTTGCATGATGCTGTCATCGTTTATGTAAGCTACAAGTCCAATAGCTTTGTGCTGTAGCTGTGGGCGTCCTTCTTTAATGGTGAAGAGTCGTCTATAATCTCTCCCAGTTGAGTCTGTGAGCTTTGCTGTAACCTTGGGTTGCACTCTTTGGCATTTCATGCTGGGCGTAAGCATACTCTGGTTCCACTTTCCAAGGGTCTGTCTCAAGGGTATCCACTGGCTACCTGGCTTTCAGAAACAAACTACCTTCCATTATTCTATGTTATAAATGGCTTATGTGTCTATGATTTACTGAGTGATCATCCATTTCTACATGAATTTCAGTTCTAGGCTTGTTGGTTCTTGTAATGAATCTCTTCATTTCCAGTCAGGGCAATCGTTTTTGAATGTTTGCAATTCTTACTCTAAACCATAGTGTGAAGACTTTGTGGTGATTTGGCCATGAGAAGAAGCAGTCTCTGAACACTCATTGAGTTCACTTCCCTTGTCCCAGTTTGACTGTTTGTGTCAACTTCACGGTAAACCAGTTTGGGTAGCTCATTCTCCAAAAGTTGACCTCGAAGTGAGTTAGTTTTCAGCCAGGTTCGTTCCCCAGTATGGCTGTTTGTATTGCTTCATGAGTAGCTGTGGTAGCAAAAGAGAGGGGAAC